CCGCTTCCTCCAGGGGCTGCTGCTCTCTGCCATCTTAGATCTCAGATCGAACTGCCTTTGCTGCCTCTGTTCTAGATCTCACCTGCTTCGTGTCTACTCTTCAAAACAGTAAACTCAGGAATGGCACAATTCGGAGATTTCAATCTTTTTGCTCTACCTACCCCTCCTCTCTCTCCTTTTCTATCCCCTCCCCTCCCCTCCCCTCTCGTTCACAGTCCCACACGCTCAAACTCTTAATCCTACACATTCTAGAAATGGAATCCAGCATGCTATGAATGCTAGGCATGCACTACCTGACAGCCACATCCACACAAAATCTCTTTTAAAGGAAAAGGAGGAAGAGGAAGAGGGGGAGGGGGAGGGGAGGAGTGTGAGAAGGAGGAGGAACAAGGAGGAGGAAGAGGAAGAGTACTCCTGTAGTCTAACAATGAATGTCATCAAAAGACATACTTTATATACAGACAACGGCGGTGGGTGTGAACTGTGGTAGTGGGTATGAACCCTGCAGGTTTCCTTGTTTTAAGAACTGGTCATCAGGAGCTAGAGAGACGGCCTAGTGGCTAACAGCCCTGGATGCTCTATCAGAGGACCTGGGTTCGATTTCAGGCCCCACATGCTGGCTCGTAACATCTAGTGTAACTCTAGTTTCAGGAGACCGGACACTCTTCTGGCCTCCATGGGGACCAGCCATGCACATGGTGCACAGACACACTTCCAGGCAAAACACCCACACACATAAAATAAAAATTACCTACAAACAGAACCACAACTGGTCATCTCAGGCCAGTGAGATGGCTCAGCAAGAAAAGGCACTGGCTGTCAACCTAGAACTGGATCCCTGGACCCACGTGGTGGAAGGCAAGAACCCGTTCCCCGCTGGTTGTCCTCTAATGCCCGAATGCAGCACCCTGTGTGCACCCCACTCCCCTCAATGAGAATGTAATAGAAGTATAAAAAACCCGGTCGTCTGGAGTCTATGACACAACAAGGTAAAACGGAACCAGGGCCATTACATTTCCCAGGGCATGACTAGGTACTCTTGAAGTAGTTCTTCTATAATCTCAGACTCTGAACGAACGCCACAGTTAGACATAGACAACACCTCAAACTAGAATTTTAAAGCTCTGTACTGCTTTCCTCTGTATCTCCTGTTTGTTTGTTTTTTAAGACAGGGTTTCTTCTCCTAGCCATAGATGTCCTAGAACTCACTCTATAGACCAGGCTAGCCTTGAACTCACAAATCAGCCTGCCTTTGCCTCCCAAGAGCTGGGATTAAAGGCATATGCCAACACTGCCCAGTTTTCCTGTATACCTCTTTTAAAGGAAGAGGAAGAGAAAGAGGAAGAGGAGGAGAGGAAGGGGAGAAGAACTGTGAGTTAGAGGAAGAAGAAGGAAGAGGAAAAGGAAGAGTCCCCATAGTCTAAACAATGAATACCATCAAAAGACGTATTGAAGAGGAACATGGTTGGAGCTAAGTCAACCTCAAAAGAAAGAAACCTGAGTCAAGCCAAAAGGAAAACTGGCACACAGGGCAAGTATCTAAATTACAAATCCGACGTCAAGATTCCCTATCTCATCAGTCCTAGTGAGCTTGAACTGTCAACTTGACAGAGCCGAGCCTCCATCAAGGAAATCTCAGCTGAGGGACTGCCCAGATCAGATCAACCCACGATCTTGTGTATGAAGGAATGTCTTGATTGTTAACTGATGTGAGGGGGCCCAGCCCACTTACCGATGGGCAGACGGTTCTGAGCTGTGTAAGAAAGCTAACTAAACATGAACCAGTGTGTGAGTGAGCCAACAAGCACTATTCTTCCACAGTCTCTACTTCAAGTTCCTGCTAGACTCCTGCAACCGGCTTCCTTCAATAATGGACTGTAACTTGTAAGCTGAAACTAATCCCATCCTCCCGCAAATTGCTTTTGGTTAGACTGTTTTTATTATTTTATTATTATTTTAATCACAGCATCGGAGGTAAAAATAGAACACAAAACTTTTCAAGCAATCATTTCAGTGCTCTTAAATTTTTTCTGATTTTGGAACATTTAGACTTTTGGATTAGAACTGCTCAACATTGATAAAGTCAATGCAGTATCCCAAATGTTTAACAAATTCAAACTCTGAAATGTTCTTAAGTATTTCTGGTTCCAGGCATTTCAGATAAAGCGTCACCAAGCTGTATGCAGACAGACAGAAAGAGAAGCTGTGGAGGAAGGCAGCCTCTGAGCAACCACCTCAGCCCTCAGCTCCCTACTCAACCTGAACCTGGTCAGAGGGAGTAACAGCCAACACCAGTAAACATTGCCACCTCCCATTTTAAAAGGAAGGCCCCTCAAGCAACCTCCTCGAGTGGCTTTTAAAACACAGTCTGCTCTGCTTTACACACCAATAACTCTCCTGCTAGCAACCTCAGTGTCCCATTGGCCAGTGAGACAAGCAGTTCTACTTATTCAGTTTACAGGGGTATGCATCATATACCTGGCAAGAAGCCACCTACAAGGAGGGGTTGCTATAGCTTACAGTTTAAGAACAGATCCAGTACATCACTGTGTAGAAGACGTGCTATCAGGAGGGTAACAGCCGGTCGCATTGTGTCTCCATCAGGGAGGACTGATGGACAAGTAGTGAGCTATAAAGCCTACTTAGTGTCCCATTTGCCCCAATGAAGTGTCACTTCTTAAAGGTTCCACAATGTTCCCAACAGTGCCACCAGCTGGGGACCAACTGTACAAACACACAGACCTATGAGGGACATTTCACACTGCAGCCAAAACATGATATGATGTAGCTCTCATTCAGATCCAGCCCACTTCCTTCCCTGAAAGGACTCAAAGCCAAACAAAAATGAAGATGTTAATAAAGACATTATGATGTTTGAATATACTTGGCCCAGGGAGTGGCACTATTTGGAGGTGTGGCCTTGTTGGAGGAAGTGTGTCACTGTGGGCATGGGCTTTAAGACCCTCTTCCTAGCTGCCTGCAAGCCAGTCTTCCAGCTACCTTTGAAACAAGAGGTGGACCTCTCAGCTCCTCCAGCCCCATCTGCCTAGATGCAGCCATTCTCCCACCTTGATGATAATAGACTGAACCTCTGAACCTGTAAGCCAGGCCCAATTAAATGTTGTCCTTATAAGAGTTGCCTTGGTCATGGTGTCTGTTCACAGCAATGAAACCCTAAGACAGATATATTTTGTGAAATCAAGAAATAAGGAAAAAAAATCAACCAGTGGCTAATATTGTCACAGTAAACCAAATAAAAATATCATGGGAAAGAAAAAAACTATTGACAGTATCTCAAAAGTTTCTCCGAAGCTATCAATCAAGACAGTGTGGCATTGGCAGAGGGCAGACCCACATCCACAGAAGAAGTGAGTCTTTAAAACAAGTACTCATATCCTTAACAGGGCCATCAGGAGACTCCTCAACAAATGCTGTTGAAACAACTAGACACCACGAAAGAATACAGTGGACGGACAGTGTCTACATCACACTGCATCCAAGGTGACTCAGGACGGGATACAGTGGACGGACGGTCTCTACATCACACTGCAGCCAAGGTAACTCAGAATGGATTAAAAAAACCTATACAAATTATGTAAAACTGTAAAAACCACGAAAGAGAAACAAACGTACACATGCACACACACACACACACACACACACACACACTATGTGTACATACACTCACTATACTGCTATTACTACTACTGCTGCTGCTACCACCACTCACACACACCAAAATTTTACACCTAGGAATGGTTTTCTTGGCATAACCCCAGAATTACAATCAATAAAACTAATAAATCAGAATGCATTAAGATCTGTTTGTCTCAAAGGACATCAGAGATTAAAAGGCAATCTTTAGAACAAGAAAAGATTTTGTAAATCATGCATTTAATAAGAATAATCATGCATTCATCTAGAATGTAAAAAAATTGTATTAAATCATTAATTAAGAAAAACAGAAGATGTGAGAGAGATATGAACTAACGTTTTCCCAAACAACCAGGAAGTACGTGCATCAGTACTAAACGCCATGACGTATCAGGGAAATAATGAAAGGCTACATCCAACTAGGATGGCTAGGGTCTGAAAGGAGCAGACGCGTCAGTATAGACAATTCCATAAAAACCCAGGGACAAGGCTAAGGCCATGGCTCAGGGGAAACGTAGACTGCACTGAAAACACAAGGACCTGAACTCAAATCTCCAGCATCCACATGAGAAGTCAGCACAGCTGTGCACGCCTGCACCTCCAGTACTGACAGACACAGGCGGGTCCTGGAGCTCGGTGTCAGTCAGCCTAGCAAAAGGACACGCTTTTGGTTCGGCTAGAGAGCCCATCTTAGTACAATAAGGTAGGAAATGCACATATGAGCGAGGATGGGGTACACACACACACACTATGTGTACATGCACTATTCTACACTATGCACACACACACACACACACAAATTTTAAATTAAAATGTTTTTAAGAGACATAGGAACACTTATACACTGCTATTGTGAATTTTAAAAAAAAGTTTCTTAAAAGATAAAAAAGTTACCGCATGACCTCAAAATTCCATTCCTGTATAAATATCAGTAAAAGTCAAAGCATATGTCCACAAGCCCAACAACCACTGAGTGAATAAACAAAATGTGTTAGATTTCACACCATGGCATATTATTTAGCAAGAGAAGAAATAAGGAATATTTGTGACACACAAATCTTATGCCAAGAGAAATGAGGCACAGAAGACACGCTGCTCACGGACTGTTCAGAAAGGTGTTAGCCAAGAGGTCTCGGTTGTTTAGGGCAGGGAAGGCAGAGAGTTCCCAGGACTATTCATGGGCAAAGGGTACCGGTTCTGATATGAAAATGCTCTGAAGTTAGAGACCTACAGTTCAAGAATTTTATGAATATATTCTCCCAATCATTTGAAGTCTACACTTGAAGTGAGTAAATTACAAAGTATGTACCTTACTGCTCATAAATCTGCTTTTTAAAAAAATTTACCTTGAAGGAGTTGGATCATCTTGGCCGAGGCGTGACATGATGTTTATTAGGGTGTTAATTCCTATTAAAAAAAAAAACACACACAAACATACAAAAAAATAATTTAAGAACTATTTTAGAACAACCTACGATATATAGAAAGGAATTCTTTTCACCCAATTTGACTTTTAAAAGTTTAACATCTGCATTCAAGTATTTAAAATATGTGATAGAAGAAAGAAAAATTTTAAAAATATGTGTCTGTGCCCAAAGTGAATATTACCCAGGATGCATGGGGTGCACTAGAGCCAGGAGTTCACGGAGCCACCAGGGAACCAGCCAAGGAGGGGAGGTGGATCTGAGTCTCAGGAAGCAGCACAGAGCAGACAGTAGTGTCTTACAGTCACCCAAACAGACCTTTTTTCCGCATGTGCATGTGATGAACTTTTCTGTCTCCGTATTTGGGCTGTCGAATTCCACAGTTAGACAAAGAATTCCTGGCATGATCAGGATTCATTCCAAAATTTAAATGATGGCTTGGATGAGTCATGGCCAGCTGTAGTTTTAATGAAACAAGCACAGTTGAAAAACCCAGCACAGAGACTCCTAACACTCCATACAAAACATGTCAAGCAAGCATTACGGCTCCTCCTTCAGATTCAAATCTGCAAAATGGGGCTGCAAGATTTTTCTAAAACAACCCCAAAATCCCACCTCTTTCAAGGAGGATTACCATCCTGGACTGTAGGAAGAAGAACCATAAACAAGGGAATAATGAAAGAGGTACTGACCCTTGACAGACAAGATTGTCGTATCAGTCTACAGCCTCAAATAAATATAAGACAGAGGGCCTGAAAGCAGCCAAGGCAGAGGGGAGAGCAGGGAGGGTTGGTGCTTTCTCTAAAGAGAACCCAACATACCATTTATACTGTGCCGGGTGCGCTCTCCGAGCCTCACTGGGTGAGCTCAGAGGAGTTCTGTGAGAGCACTTCTTACCTGAAGCAGACAACGGTCTTGGAAAGTATATCCTATCAACTTGTCCAAGTGCATTAAGCATTGATGGTATCGGATGTGATGGGTCAGAACAGGCAGCATCATTGCATGCTGGGGGAAAAATAATCAGTATGTTTAAGTCTATAAAAATTCATAAAATCGCTGTTCATTCTTAGACAAGTAAGAACTATTTTCTCACCCCAAATAACATCTCATAAAGTCCTGAAGCAGTTTCACTGGCTATGTGGCAGCCTGCAGAACCGTCTGTCAGGAGCGCTATGCTACAGTTCCTAAGTCTCTGGACCCAGAGTGCCTGGATTTTGTTCTACCCCTCACTCACTCACTGTTTGATTGGGGTTGTTTTATTATTTAAAATGAGGGAAATAACTGTAGCTAAGCCCAGGGATAGTTAAACGAATAACATGTATGGGAAAGAAATCATTTATTTTTCCTCCCTTTTTACATGTGTGCACATGCGCGCGCATGTGTGTGTGTGTGTGCGTGTGCACATGCATGTACATAAGTGCACTCAATATATGTGCATATGTGAAGGCCCAAGGTCAATTTATCCCTCTCTTCATTTTCCGACAGGTTTCTCACTGAACCCAGAGTTCACTGCTTTGGCTAGACCACCAGACCAGTAAATCCCAAGCATCTGCTGGTCTCCCATTCATCTCCTGGGGTTACAGGAATATGTTACCCCACTCAGTTTTTACCTGGGTGCTGGGGACCTGAACTCTGGTTCTCACGCTTGTAGACTATTTTACCCACTAAGACATCTCTCTAGTTTACACTTATTTATTTATTTTATTTATTTATTTACTAACTTACTTATTTTTTTAAATCCAAGGCTTTGCTATATACCTAAGGCTAACCTGGAATTTGCTATAGAGAAGGATGGCCTTGAATTCACAATCCTCCTGCCTCAAGCTTCTAAGTGCTGGGATCATGGGCATCTCCTAAGGGATAGCTCTGGGTCTATGAATACTCAGCAAAACATCCTCAAGTAGGCGTTCCATGACTCCCTGTCTCTAATTCCAAAGATATAAACTAAGACACATTTGTATACTTCAGGATCAAGATATTTTTGATCCTCAAATAAATAAAAAAAAACTTTCTCCAAAAAAACCTTCTATATACGTAAAATCTGTATGCATATATAGAATACATGTGCATAAACCAAGCCGCATTGTTATCCTCAAGACTATCTCAGTCACATGGTGTTCAGTCGCTACACTGGGTCTGACATTACTGATCAGACAGTCACAGAGAGCCTATATAAAGCCACTAATACAGCCATGGCAGCTGAGGACTGGAGACTCGAGTCTTTTTTTTTTTTTTTTTATTGGATGATTTATTTACATTTCCTATATTGTCCCCTTACCCCATCCCCCACCACCCCCTCGGAACCCCCAATCCCCTCGCCCCTCCTCCTTCTTCTCTGTGGATGTAACCTCTATCTACACCCCCCCCACTCCCACCTCCCCACCCTCAAAATTCCCACCCCCTGGGGCATCCAGCCTTCATGAGGTCAAGGTTCTCTTCTTCCACCTATGCCCAGCAGGGCCCTCCACTCTTACATATTCAGCTGAAGCCCTGGATCCCCCCCTAAGTGCTCCCAGGCTGGTGGTTTAGACCCTGGGAGCTGTGGTTGGTTGGTATTGTTGCTCTCCTCATGGTGCCACAAACCCTTTCAGCTCCTTCAGTCTTCACTCTAACTCCTCTATTGAGAACCCCATGATCAGTTCAATGGCTAGTTGTGAGCATCTGCCTCTGAATATGTCTGACTCTTGAAGGCCTCTGAGGAGATATCCATATCAGGCTCTTATTAGCATGCACTTCCTGTCTTCCACATCAGCATCTACCTTTGGTGATTGCACATGGGATAGATACTCAGGTGGGGTGGTCTTGAGACGGCCCCTCCTTCAGTTTCTGTCCCTCACTTTGTCTCCATATTTGCTCCCTTGAGTATTTTGTTGCTCCTTCTAAGAAGGACCGAATCACCCTCACTTGGTCTTCCTTCTTTATCTTTGCTGCCAGCACTTTTCATTTTGCTAAAGATTCCTTATTGGGAGATGGTTTCATGAAAGGCGTGTCTTTTCTTTTCTTTAATAACGTTTCCCCGGAACTCGAGAGAATGAAGGAATCATTCTTATTCATCAGAAGCTGGAGGGTGGGCACAGCTCACAGGATGACTGACATACGCTTTTCATTTTGATCTCTGAAGTATTTTAAGCTCGTATTATTAAAAATATACATGAAAATGCATCTACTTGAAGCTACAGAAATCAGTCTTATCTTATTAACTTAAAAAGAAACAATTAGTTCTGCCAAATAAGACCTAACCAACAGAAAGCCTTTCTCTCAGTAAGGTATCTACTGAGTACCTATAAGTGCAAGGCTGCCCTGCATCTGTGGAAGATTAGAAAAAATAAAAAAAGATGAATACAGAGTTTTTGCACCACAGGGTTCCAAGAGACACACCATTATGATATACATTACCAGCACTTTGTCAACTTTATTTTTCTAAATACAATATTTTAAAAATGACAGCTTGCTCACAGAGCATGCAGTTAACAGAAATACCATTTCCAGCCACTTAGACTTCATGAAGCTCAAGAGAGTTCACGTGGACAGCGCAGCGCTAAGATACAATTATTAAGCATTTTACACGCATGATGAGTGCATGTTATTTGAGAGAGAGAGAGAGAGAGAGAGAGAGAGAGAGAGACCCTTTGAAGTCCTGTGAGAAAACTGTGATGTACAGTTTTCAAATTTCAAATGATTCATAAAATCAAGCTCCTAATGCTCCCCACACCTACATGAGGAGCTAACGGCAGTTACTGGATGCTGAAGGAAGGTCATTTCTTTCCTTGGCAGGTGGTGAGGGCAGGGCGGGGGATGCACTAAGCTACTGGCAGTTGCCTAATGCCCTAGGAAGGTGGCTCTACACACACACTAACTGAACTTCGTTCACTATTTAAAAAGAGAAAGGGGAAAAACACGATGTAAAGTTAGGAAGGAGACAGAAAAGAGGCTGGGGGGGTGGGACCTGAGGGATGGAGTCAGGAATTGATGTGACCATGAAATGTTGAATACACACATACAAGTTTCAAAAAATTAAAATATAAAAGTTAAAAAAAAAAAAAAGACTAGCAAAACCAAAGATCCCTGAACAAGAGCAGTGTGTGAAGAAGACAAAGACCTATGGTGGTGTCGGGATCTACCTGAGAGAAAAGAGTGAGTAACTGTGCGTAAATACGAGCAAAACCAGAGCGGTCTGTATACACTCAGTTCCCTAGGTGAGAGAAGGGGCAGTTCAACAGTGCAGGAGAAAGCATGCCCTGGGCACAGACGCTTCTGTTGGAGGAATCACTGTAATAGGAGACCATGAGGGACTGGACAATACAGGGTCCGGCAAAGAGAAGGCCCAGTGGACGGAGGCAGAGCCCAGCGCAAGGCTGTGACATTCTGCAGGAGGGAAGTTCAAGAACCACATCTGTCCTGGCTTCTACTGCCATCCAGCTAGAGAGATGTCATCAGTTAAGAGCACTTGGTCTTCTTGCAGAGGAGCTGAGTTTAGTTCCCAGCACACACATGTGAGCTCACAACCATCTGTAACTCCACTTCTAGGGAATTTTCCTCACCATCAAGAGCATCATGCACGTATATACACAGACAGAGCACTCCCACACATAAAATAAGTAATGTGGTTTTAAAAAGCCACTCAAACTGAAGGTCACAGACATCTCTTCCAGCTCTGAAGAGATGCTCGTAACCTCCGCACTCCCCCACGGGGCTGGAGATAAATCTGGGCTCTCATGAACGCTCGGCAAGGCATTCGACCACTATGCTGTGATGCCCGAACCCAAAGGTTCGTGATTCTTAAGTAATAAACTGTGCGCTGTCACTGAGACCAGCATTATTTTAGTAGCCCGCTCACCATCTGTTCGTTATCTATGACAGCATCTTACAACATTACGTTCGGTTCTGGAGAAATACTACCAACCAGAAAAATTATGTGATGACTTTAAATAGTCAGAGGGAGAATCAAAGCAGTTAAAATAATCGTGTTTTGAAGAACTGACAGTCAGATACTGTCATGCTGGGCATGGAGGCGCACAGCATGGAATCCAAGAGAGGAAGCTGGTTAACCGGAAGAACACCGCGGCAGCTGACTATCCCCGACTACCCCCAACTCTTTAATATTGCTCCATCGATAGCAGCTCATCGTAATACAAAATTAGTTTGGTCTACTACTCAGAACATTAATTTTTCAACAATATTTTCAATAGTCTGTATATAGACCACTGTTAAACGGCAACGTGAAGTTTTAAATTCCTTACAATGAAATGCATACCTACGCGTGCAGAGCCTGCATGCTCCCATTACACAGATGTGTGGACGCTTGGGTTTTTTGTGTTTTTTTTTTTTTTTTGTAAAAGGCTGAATGGAGCAAGCTGTCCTACCTGCCTAGTCTACGTCTTCGGTTCCTTCACCTCTCACCTACTTGAGCCAATACCAGCCCTGACAAAGAATCAAGTAAAAGGCCACGGAACGTGCTGCTGTGGTGTGACCTCAAGTCTGGCGTAAATTTAACTACAAGACAGATAACAGTGCTTACGAATGAGCCACTGACAAAGGCAGAAACGTTTCTCTCTCTTACGTTTACCCAAAAGCACTGTCATTGTCACATAGAAATGCACACTGTGCTTATTGTTGCCTTCAGTTCTCTGCAGCATGTTCGGGTCAGAGGTCTGGAAACTTCGTATACTTCTGGTGACTGTCTGTACAGCTCCCGGGCTTTCTCACAAGTATCTCACATGCGCTGTGATGGGGAGAGACATCTAAAGGCAGACTTGTCTTCACCCAGAGACTGACTTTAATATTCCACTTACGCTCCTCGCAAATGCTCCTCCACACTACACACTACACACACGCGCACACACACACACACACACGAGCGCGAACACACACACACAGGAGAGTCAACACAGAAAATAAAGACAAAACCTAAACAGCTAAGAAAAACCTGTGTTTGATGTTTGATTTCTTATCAGAGTATAATCCACAGAAACTTCTCAATTAGAGAAACGCTCACTGCCAGCGCCTGTGAAGAAGAGATACATAGGCATGACTGTTTTCAGAGAGGCGTCATCACCTGACAGACATCAGAACGGATGCCAGTTTTCCAGAATCCTTGGCTACTTAGCTCCACAGTGACTTCTCGCCGCATTGTATTCTTCTGCCGTATTTTCTGGAGTGCTTCCTGGAAAAGAGCTCATTGTAAGTAACTCGACATCAGCGAAGCCGTTTTGAGCCAAGCATCAAGCATGAGACGCTAAGCATCCCTCAGTATTTCCCTACATTCAGGCACTAAACCTTCTCTATGCAAAAGGACAATATTTAACCTGAGGTGAAGGCCAAGATGTGAGACGCTCTGGGTACGACATAATCCTTCCTAGTAACCACATGACAAAAATTCTAGACTAAATCTTATTAACTCAGCATGTTTGAACAAAATATCTTTTTTCAAAATGAGAAGCAATGTACGGCCCCCGTTCTGAAATCACCACGCAAAAAGTGTATTTATATCCATTCTTACATTAGGCATTTCCATTTGAGAAAGACAATCAATCAAGCTGATACCTACATGATCCTACAAGCTGCCTAATCTGTAAAGCCCTTACGGTCTTGCTGCAGGGGTACATTGTAGAAGTGGGAGTGGAGGTGGGGATGGGGATGGGGCGGAGCCAAAAAGGGTACAATGGTGCACACCAACAACTCACAAGGTTTTACTGCAAATTAGAGTGCAGCCTGAACTATCAAGTGACACTCCCCTGGAAGAGAGCCGGGGAAAGGTAAAGAGAAGGACCTCAGACTTCCCCGTGAGACACAATCAGAAATCATGTCTTCCTTTTTACTACCCTTCATATATTTACCTGTACAAAAACATTGTATTTGGATGCATATAATAAAGTCTCAGGAATTCATAACAAAAAGAATAACCACCATCAAGTTCCTAATGGAAGCTACGTACCAGGAGATAGGTATTCAATGGCACAGAACCACCAAATGGCACACGCCACTGTTCAGAAGTGCATACAAGCAGCTTCGGCCTTGAAGGGCATGTAGCCAGTCTCTCAGCCTTAAGAGCTTTTATAAAGGCTCTGATTGGCTCAAGTCACAGTGACTAACAAAGCTAGAATCCATATCTTTTCCCAGTTTCTTAGCCTTGTACAGCAGAATAAAATCTCACTAAGAAAAAGTCTGTGTTGATGCTAAATTTATTCTTACCTGAAAACTAAAAGAGAATCCTGGAATACAGAGGATAAAACTACTCATCAGTCAGGAGTATGGGATGCAGGATGTCAACTTTACAAAGTCAGTTCACTGTTAGACTAAAAGAATCATGGGAGGATGGGCTCTTACAGCCATAATACCCGAAAACCTCTGGCCCCATGCTATGCAATGTAAGGGTAGGGATAAAGGCCGATTTACAAACGTTGAGTTTTTCCTACTTCTACAGAAGGCATATTTAAGAGCAGGTGTCGCTCAGTAGTACAGCGCTCACCTTGCGTGTCAGTGCTTAAGTCTCTGGGTCAGTCACCAGTACCAAAACAAATAACAGATAAGTGATTCCTAAAGACAGTGACTTATCAGGAAAACTGGCCTTTTAAGAGTAAAAATGTCCTACAGTGGCCGTCCCTTCACCCATATAAATACCAGCAACACCAACTAAACCCAGTGGTTAAAAACAAGCAGGGGAGTGGCGGGGCGAGGGAGGGGCATGAGGTTAGAAGGAAGACCCAGCGTGAAGGATCTGGGAGCAGATGAGTGCAGAGACTAAGGTGGATCAATACACACTGCAGACATGTATGAAAGTCAAGCAAAAAGAATTTCCCCTGACTACTAAAAGATGTTTAAGAATCAATTGCTACACTGAAACACAGAGAGGAGTAGCCCTAATTATTTAAAATCTTATCCTAGAGCTAGAAATGCAACAATCTGAAAATAAGCTCAACATGCACCACCATTAATTGCCAAGGGCTGGGTTCAATACCTACCTCCCTCTGAGCCAGCTTCTGTTTGTCAGTTTGTTTGACTTTGGGACTATTTGCTAGAAGGTGGCGAAGTTTCACATAACTTTTCCATAATTTTTGGTACCTAGGAAAAGGACAGAAAGTTATCCTAGACAAAGGAAGGCAAACCTACTGTGAAAAATCAAACCAATTATTCTAATAAGCCTACTCAAACATACATTCTTTTAAATACCTTAGCGGCAGAAAAAGCTCATTCTAAAGAAACCCAGGGTTCGAGAGTTCAGGAACTGGATGACCCAGAGTCATCTGCAGCCTGAGGATTAAGTGACTGACAGCCTATTTAGATTAAAAATGAGGTTCAGACTAAATGGATGGATGAGTGTCTGGAAACAACTCCACAGCAGACTCACAGAACCACTCAGCCAACAAAACCATGTTCCAGTCCTCAGTGTTACCTCTTCATAAGTGATGTCTTTATCTAAATTTAAAACATATCTTTTGTGAAAAAAAATCCCTTTCTTAAAATAGAGATGGTCGATTCAAGAGCACTACAACAGAGAAGCCATGAGTACTGACACTCAAGCCACAGAGGTGTGTCCATTTGCCTGCTGGAGGGGGGAGAAGGCAGAGGGTGTATACCAATTTGTTAAAGCCATCTGGGGATGCACAGACCACACAGGCCTTTATCAGCTCACAGTCCTGCCATGAGAGCCCACGAGAGCCTAGTCACGTTCTACTAACATTTTTCTGACAAGGAGGGATTGGAAGACTTCCTGACATGTGGAAACCACTCCTTTCCTAGCCTCTGTTTGGCCTCTCTCCTTGGTCAACAGTTATAGGGAAGGGAGGAAAGAAAGAAGTACTTACACAGGGCCTGGTTCACTGCTTCATACTTTTATCCAAAGAGGGAAAAAAAAGAACAGAACCCTTTAGCCTCTTCTAATATACGACAGCCAGAACTGCAGTTATGAACCAAAATCTCCCATGCCCTTCTCTCCCAGTATGTCCTGCTCTCTTTAAGTCAGGAAGTTGTTTATTTGTCTAGCAAGCAGGAAATCCAATTACACCTGAAAGGTCCTATCTATCTCCACTCCCACATATTCTCATCTTCTCCCAGAAAAATGTTAATGTGCCAGTTAGAGAAGCTCACATCTGCAAAGCAATATGTATTCTAAGGGTATGAATACACAGCTCCTGCATCCCACAGAACCCAGGACTCTGGAGGGGATCTTCCAAATACCCCGTGCTAGAAACCGGAATAGTGCTACCTGCCATTCAGGGTGCTGAGCAAATTCAAAACAAAATGAAACAAGCAGATATTGTGATAATAAGTAAAAGAAAAGCTCCCTAAAGTTTAGATCCATCCAGGACTCTAGGTGACAAGACTGTTGAGGATACTCTACTGGGTAATTTATTGCAGCCGAATGTGTAATGAAATGCATTCTTCACAAACTACAAAATCTAATTTGTAAATCTGGAAACATGGTTTGCTTCGAGTCTTCATTTGTAAAAAGGGAGATGCCCACTAAAGGTATCCTCTGCTAATTCGGTTGTTAGTAGAAGGTGAAATTGGCCAAGGAAAACACCAAGAAATATCTTACTGTGGGTCTCCTGCATAACTCAACTGTGCAGGGCGTATCCCAAAGTGAACGATAATTGGAAAAGTGATCACTTCGGGGTTGAACTGTTCACGATCCAGTTGATCAATGCGGACAGAGCTCGGTTTCTAGGGAGAAAAGAACATCAGAATCATTCACTCCCATCAGAACTCCCGAGACACCAACGTTAACCTAAGGGGAGAGATGGATCGGATTTCTTTTCTCTAGGAAAGCTTTGTCTCCAAACAGAAAAGTCCTTTAGTATATAAAAATCCTATATTGTATAAAAACTGTAATGTCATCCCTGCAAAAAGTCTTTGCCATTTGGCATAATGAACAGTGATTTTGTTTCATTTTATTTTGGCAGTCTACACATATACCTTTAAAAATCAGACTTTTAAAAGAACACCTGGTCAGAGATAACTTCTCTCTAACCTCTCACAGGGGAATGGGTTCCACATCACAGAAGGAATTTGCAGGCTTAGTCTGCCGTAACATTATATTCAAATAACCAATGCACTGCTATTTAACACTGATGCTTCTATTCAAATTTTCCACTAGATTTTACTGTACCTTTATATTCTGTAATTCTACACTTGTATGGTGATACAACAAATAGCTGACTTTCTCTCTTTCTTTTTAAGATTTATTTTATGAATATGAGTGTTCCATATGCATGTATGTGCACCATGTCTATGCCTGGTGCCCTTGAAGGTCAAGGTGCACGGATTGATTCCTTGGAACTGGAGGTTGGCTAGTTGCTCCAATTCAGCCTGCTCAACCAGCTGACAATTACAACTAAGTGACAAAGAGGACAGATTTGTATAAATTCATTCACATTGCTAAAAAAGTCATGAAATGTTTTAAAAGGGATGTCATCTAAAAATAAAAATCTTACTACTAGCTTGAAAAAATTATCTTTGTTCTTAAAAAAAAAATAGACAATTTTGATCACAGGTAAGCTAAACATAAAATTATATAAATGCCCATTAGCAACAGGAACATGTCATTTAGGTCTAAAAATGATTTGTTTATGCATACAGTGCTGGCATGCTGTTTTTTTAAAAAAACTGTATAAGGAATGGAGATGAATTATTTCTGTATCGTGTTACTTCTTTTATCACTACAATCTACAGAAGCCGTGAGTCTTCAAGATCACCTGAACCTCACCATTCAAGACCAACCTGCGCACAGAAGCATGACACCATCAAGTCTCCCAGCGGCCATGTGTGCTAACACAGCATCTAATCCCAGCCCAGGGAAGTGGAAAGAGGTGGGCAAATCCAGAGTTTAAGGCCAGCCTCCTGGGCTCATAAAACCTTGACTCAAAATACCAAAGTTAATTTTTAAAAATTAAAAAAATCATCTCTAAATTATGAGGACGGTGGGGTGGGGAAATGAAGTAAATTCTAGACTTTGGCCATAGCCTACAAATCTATCACTGCATCTCTCTGCAAGAATTTAAAACCTTTTCACTAATGACCCAAGTGTTCTCAGGCAGAGGCAAAACTGTCAGGGAGGAACATTAATTATTTTAAGTCTGCAGCAAGAAAGTATTTAATGTGACCATAATGGCGGGGAAAACTCAATAAATTTCCCAATGTCCTTGCCACTAGGCAATCTTTCAAACGAGTCCTGTACAGGCTGGAATTCGGAGTCATGCCTACTGTGCCCTGAAGCGTGTACATGTCTGAAGAGTGTGGAATGAAAGCCGCGCCTATGACAATAAACCATCTTTGCATAAATAGTAAGAAATAACTGACCTCATCATCATGGCCCTAAGCTGAAAACTTTCCTAATCTATTTCTGATAGATTTCCAACAGAAGCCTTCGATCCTCGAGGGTCTGGTTTCTTTCACTATCTACAAACCAAGCCGTCCACCCTCTCAAAGATACACATCAGATATGCCGATCGTCAATACAGTTTCATTTCTGTGAGTATTCATTCTACTGTAGCATTTACGGCACACCGGTCTCTGCTGAAACTGGAGGTTTCACTGTGTGGGCTGCTAACTCAACACTCATCATGGGCTCCTTGCACTACAGACAAACTCTGCAGGCTATGGCTTACACACTGGCTCATCAATACACCCGCTGCATGATGGCGGGATGACAGGTAAGTGACGCACACCGATGCATCGGAACAAACCAGGAACAATCAGAAGCACCTGGGACTTTTAAACACTGTAACTTCCTGGGCCCACTGTCTGTCTGCAGTTTATGGAATGAATCGTCAGGAATACTCTTAGCTTCCTCCAAACAGCTTCTAATGGACTGTAGGATTTCAGGAAAATATGCCATGGAAGCAATCCCAGGGTGACACGCTCCCAAAAGAGACCACCACAGAACATGACAAATTATGTCTCCTACCATCATCCACTCTCTGATTTAGCTCTAAAGCGGTCAAAGGAAATGAAAAGATATGCAGCTGTTTCAAGGGAACAATTCATTGCCACACACTGGGCTGTTATGTTTTTTAAAGACACTTTCTTAATTTTGTGGTGTTTAACAGTATAGCAGCAAAAAATTATTTTACCTTTCTAGTTTTAAACACAGTTTTGAATATGTACCGATTGAAAAAATAGTATCTATATGACAAATGATCAATAACAAAAATAAGTACCATAGAATAAAATCAAATAATGGGTAATAAGAGACAATTTACTTAACAAAAAAATAAGAATTGGCAAAACAATTTAAAATATGTTTTCACTAGAAACGAAAATATAAAACTAGGCAAAATACTAATTTCCTGCACTACCAAAGTGGCAAAGGGTTTTTGTTTTAAAGCTAGTACGAAAGAATGAGTATTCTCATATAACCCACAATCCTCTGGGGGAGAAATCTACAATGTACAGCGAAAGTCTTAAAGGCATATACATCTTCAGGTAGATGAACAAACGACACCCAAATTGTAGTATTTTTCTTACTCACTAAGTATTGAAAGAAAACTTACCCAAAGGACAAGAAGCTAGAGTACTCAAAGCATGCTACATGCTGTTACTGTTTGAGTAGAACACACAAACAAGGAAAAGAGGCCGGTTCCCAGTCCAGGTTGTGCAAGCACCAGAACTCACCGTTCCAGGGTTGGTAACTATCATGCCTTTGCACTCTTCTGCATATTTCTGCCACTCGAGCTCCTCCCATTGGAGCATGTTGGCAATCTCCTCCTCGGGTACCAGAGCTTTGCTGCACCGCAGCAGGTAGAGAAGAATCTGGTGCATTGATAATACTTCCTTGCCTCCATCTTGGGTGAGAATTTGGAGAACAAAGGTACTCAATTAACAACACAGCATCAACTCACTAAGGTAAAACAAGACAACGGCTGTAGGAGAGCACATAGAAAGAAGTAATTTAAATGTACACTGATCACCAGGTGCCAAGTAATATGAACATCATTTGTCTCACTGATGCACGGTACTCATAAACCATCTCATTTGCTAAAATGGGAACAACAACATTATAACCGATAAAGGCTTTATTTGAGAGGTATGAATACAAGAAAGGGTGTTCGCCTAAATAAATTTAAAGTAACCTAGCATGAGAAACCACAGTTTATAATAAACAGAACCGTGTTATGTCTAAATATTTTATCATTCTTTCTAGAGTAACAGATGAAGGCTTTTCAGAAGTGATGTTCCTGTCTTAGGGAAAGTCTAAGCTTTATGAGATATTTATAGATGCTTTCAATAAGACATTGTTGCATTATGATCTAATTTGGAGGTGCTAATGTGCTGCACCTGCCACACTGATCCGAGCTGAAGAGCCCGTACTGATATTATAGGAGACCGTTACGGAGCTAGCACGGGGATAAAATACCAACTGTCTGAGCTTTACCAGTACGGTGGACTGAAAACCACAAAAGGCACAATTAAAAGGCAGCTCAGAAAAGGATTCGTGCTTTATAAACCAAAGACATGGGGTTCATGTGTGCCCAAGACGGAGGCTGCAGGTTTCTGCCTCCTCTTTGGATTCAGCTTCACGACAACATGGCAACAGATCGTGTGTACCAGTTTTCTCTGACTACCTCCACCCAAAAGGACAAGCACCCCCTGGGGATTCTGAAAAAGACTCTTCTGAGATTACTACCCTCCCCTCAAACATGAGCTAAAGTACAAGCTAAACATCAGAAAACTGGAAAGAGATCTACCTGAAGATCCAGCTATACCACTCCTGGGCATATACCCAAAAGATGTCCCACCATGCCACAAGGACGTGTGCTCCACTGTGTTCATTGCAGTCTTATTTGTGATTGCCAGAAGCTGGAAACAACCCAGATGTCCCACAATGGAAGAATGGATGCAGAAAATGTGGTTTATTTACACAATGGAGTACTATTCAGCTATTAAGAATGGGGATAATGACTTTTGCAGGCAAATGGATGGAACTAGAAAATATCCCAAGTGAAATATCTCAGACCCAAAAAAACATGAATGATATATACTCACTACTAAGTGGATATTAACCAAAAAAGTACAGAACACCCAGTATACGATTCACAGAAGGCAAGAAGGTTGACAAGTCAAAAAGCCCAAGTGAGGATCCTTCAAGCCCACTTGGGAGGGAGAAGAAAGCAGAGGGCAGAAAGAAAGGTAACTAGGTGGAAGATGGGAGAAGGAGGGCCAGGAGAAAAGGGGACCATGAACAGGTATTAGGTGGGGGTACAGGATTAAAGCCCTGAGGGCTGTCAGAAAGAATGAAAACAGGCAACCTTGGGAGGTAGGAAGTGGGGGGACCCTCTAGAATGTACCAGAGACCCCGGAGGTGAGAAAATCACAAGTCTGAAAGGGAAGGATCTTGGATAAAATGCCCAACAGTGGGGACAGGGAACTTACAGAGTCCCACCTCCAGTAGAGAGACAGGGCATCAAGTGGAGGGATAGGGTTGACATCCAACAGTCAAACACTCTGACCCAGGATTGTTCCTATCTAAAAGAACTCCAGGGACAAAAACTAAGAAGATACTGAGAGGTCCAATGAGTACCTCAAATTGGGATCCAGTTCAGGGGGAAGCCTCAAGGCCTGACACTATTACTGCTGCTATGGTGTGCTTACTGACAGGAGACTAGCAAGGCTACCCTCCGAGAGGCTGACTGAGACAGAAACAGATACTTACACCCAACCAATGGTCTGAAGTTGGGGACCCCTGTGGTCTCAACAAACCTGGACTCCCAAGACCTCTCAGACACTGAGTCACCAACCAGGCAGCATACACTAGCTGGTCTGAGGCCCTCAACACATATACAGCAGAGGACTGTCTGGTCTGGCCTCAATGATCGAAGATGCACCTAACCCTTGAAAGACTTGAGGCCCCAGGGAATTCAGAGGCCTGGCAGGTGTGAAAGGGGACAATCTCTTGGAGATGGGGAAGAAGAAATGGGATAAGGAACAGTCAGAGGGCAGAATGGGAAAGGGATAACGACTGGACTGTAAAAAAGGATAAAATAATAACAAAAACTCCACAAAGTTAAGGTATGATATTATTAAACATTTAAGTGTCCTGAGTTAAGATGATACTAAACTGAGTTTTCTATCTATTTATTACGATTCCTTTTAGTTCACAGTCCCACAGGTTATATTTCATTTTGGGACAGTCATAGCTGCAGGGACTTAAACAGAGCCTGCAGAACTTTACAGCGCTCACTACGCGAGCTTGGTATTTTACTTTTAACCATTAGGTGTCAGGCTCTGTGCGTGGTCCCGTTTCAGTCATGCCCACTCCAAAAGCCTCAGAATTCTGTTTTAGGCTGGCCATGATCATAATAGCATGGTCCTACAGATGCTAAGGCCTGCCTTCCTGCGGCTTCTCTCTTCCTCTGCGTCTCACCCGCAGGGATGCTGCATATGAACTTGTAACGAGTGATAAGAAAGCCAAGTCTGGTGCTACATCCCTGTACTCTAGTTCTTCAGATCCAGAGACAGGAGGATCATTGCAAGTTTGAGGCCAGTCTGAACTACTCTGCTAAGTTCTACCCTGATCTACAGAGCAAGACCCTATCTCAAAAAAGAAACTGAGAGACACATAGACAGATACACACACATAGAAAGAGAAACACAGAGACACACACACAGAGAGAGACAGAGAGACAGAGAGACAGAGAGAGAGACAGAGAGAGACAGAGAGAGACAGAGAGAGACAGAGATCTGTCTTTGTTTTGCTTTCCAATATAATGAGAAAACAATGCTGACATGTTCATCTCTCATCTTCCAGTAAGTCTGAAGGCAGACAAGAGACACAGTAAAGCAAGTGTGTGACTCTACACTGCATGTGTCTACGTATACAACAGCAGGAATGAAGGGGACCTGGAACTCTTGAGCAGTAACGGCCACACTGATGAGAATCAGCAGGAACCAAGGGAAGAGCTCACCAGTATTTCGTTCATCGATTCTGAGGTGTGCTGACTTTATCTAGAGGAACTGTGGGGTTACAAGGATGCGCTCCAGTCCAAGACAGTGGGCAGAGCGGAATGGTGTCTGCCTTAGGATCTGGAAAAGTCTTCATATTTTTATGAGGAGAGGAGAACAGCATGGGGATGGGAACAAATAGAAACAGAGGTAGCTATAAACAGCAACAGAATCTCTCTGCACGCAGTTATGCCTGGCTGACTCCGAGGCACTTCAAATACAGAGAGATGGATGAGAGGTATCTAATTTAAAGTGAAAAAGCTAAAACGAGCTACTGGCAGAAGGAAATACTTAAGTCTGCACACCATCTGTCTCTTAAAAACCTCAAGTTCTAGGCTACATGAGTGGCACAGGTAGTACCTAAGTTTGGAAGGGAATATCTGCAAGATTAAAATACAAAGCCAATAAATGCTTATCAAGAAGCCCACTACGCAGGCTCCACTTTGGGTTGGGAGCAACCCGGCTGATGAGAAGGTAGTGAGTTTTACAGCAGCATAGAAACTGGACATAATTAAACAAGTAAACACAAAATGTGCATCAGGTACAAACCACTGCTGCTAAAAGAGAGAATAAATGCATGCTTGGAGTCTGCTGACTAATTCACATGGCAGCTATAAAAAGAGAGTTCTTCACAACTGTGGGAAAAGTAGAAACTCAGGACAGGCAAGCTGAGAGGAAAGGGTGCCCAGGAAGGGGGCGGGGGCTCTGCTCCACATATGGTACCCGGATGCAATCTTCATGGAAGTATTAGAAGAGGAGGACAGAACCAGAGTCCCGTACCAGCCCACCGGGCACAAGCTGTATCCCTCACACCCCGCCTGGCAAAGAGACATCATAAAAAATAGCTGTGGAAGGACTTTCTGAAGCCGATTAATCATATGGCCACTTGCCCTCCTACTGCCGTGAACTTACCGATGTTAATGAATTGGCTCTTTACGTTTGTCTGTTTTGCTACATGTTTATGTTGGGGATTTATGGAATTATGTCACTGAAGGCAACAAAGTAATTTTTATCGCGTTGGCTAGAATAAATAGGACATGATACAAATGAGAAATCAGAGCGGGTAGGCTAAGGTTAGCAGGAATTCTGCCAGATCTGGGGTTGGAACCGTGACAACGGCTCATTATTCGGGAAGAAGTAGAGTTTGTGTTTCAGGGAATGAATCTGGACAGTCATTAATGAACTGACAGACTTTATAAACTGTTTCTTAGAGACCCGGCTCCCTCGGTTTATACTGCTTGGTTATTTATGTAGTTATATGGGAGAGAGGGACAATTTGTTAGGAAATCTGCGTTAAATATACGGCTGCTCAAACAAGTATCTGTCAATTACCTAACACTCAATTCCCCTTTCTTTGCACCAGCATTAACTATACACTACATCTTCCACGTAATCCCACCAAGATGACTTGGAATGATTTCATTTCCTAAAGTTGGTATTCACAGCAAGTAGTTCTTAATTTCAAACTATGAAGTTATATTAGCAGCTGGAGATGGCTCAGCCGTTGCGAGCACTTGCAGAGGCAGACACCATCCCGCTCCGCCCACTGTCTGGGATTATAGCGCATCCTTGTAATCCCACAGTTCCTCTAGATAGACTCAGCACACCGCAGAGTTGATAAGCAAAATACTAGTGAGCTCTTCCCTTGGTTCCTGCTGGATCTCATCAGTGTGGCCGTTACTGCTCACGAGTTCAAGATCCCTTTCATTCCTCTGCTCTGTACAGAGGAGGCACATGCAGTGCAGAAGAATATTTGCTTTATGGGATATGTCCATAAATAACCCCAGGTTAAGAGGATCCAATGTCTTCATCTGGCCTTCAAGGTCATCAAGCATACACATAT